CCCCAAAACCCCAAAACCCCAAAACCCCTAGTGCAAAGGCATATATTGAAACGTATGACCAGGCTTTTCAATTTAGCATTAAACACGAGTAAGCATCCTCCCAAACGAAGGAGTATGCACCCAAACACTAGCTTAAAGTCTAAAACTCAGGTTCCTTATTCAGTACTACCCAAAAACCCACAGTTTCATATTTTACGCACAAATTTAGTCAACTCTCAAAGGTCATACAGGGGATATAGCTTAATAGAGAGCTGTAGGCAAAGTGGGCTTATAAGGATGGTGCAAGAATTGGTTGTGTGCGGAGGGGTATTTTGGATAGAGGGGATTAGAACAGAAAGAATGAGGTGTTGGAGATTATTGGTAGGGGTTGTGCGGCAGAATGGCGTATTTTGGGTTATGATGAGAAGGTTAAGGAATGCAGTATATTAAGGATTATGCGTAATAGTAAGTGAGTTATAACATTACTGGGAAGAAACTATTATTAAGTTTGGCAAAAAATGGTTTGATGCTTTATAGAATGTTAATTCCAAGAAGTATGCTTCAAGAAAATTTTTAAATTGCTTGTCTTAAGAGTTAACAATTCAAACCCTAATCAAATTATCTCTTATAGTATCTGATTAGTAAATATTCCTTCCGTTATCAAATAAAAAGATTAACTTTTTAAAAATTTCTCAACTTTCCATAAACATTCCCTTTAATATTTCCCTCAAGCGTGTAGCAATTATCGTTTAGTCCAAAAAGTGTTGCACACAAATACTAAGTGATAGGCCAAACAACAGCATTCAAAGTCAATAGTCTGCACCTCAAAATGAGAAAATTTGTAAGGATTTCGAAGAAACTTTGAAATCCATAAAGCAACTAGTCCATCCAGAGAAATATGAAAGTAAAAGTAATTAGTAGTGAGTAATTAAGTTTTAGGCAAGTTATTGAGTAGAACTTCAGTCTTTGATCAGAGGAAGCTTTCTTTCTTCATCAATAGCATCATTCCTCTTGTCAATATCTGAGCCTTCTGTGTTTGAAGAGTCGCTTAATCTATAAGGGAGGGTTGGTTTAATATTCAGACATCACAAAATGGTACATATCGAAGTTTTGGATAAGAAGGATATGGCTATGAATAATTTACCTTTGAAAGATTGAAGCCTTCTGTCTTAGAACATGAGGAGAGAAGAATCTTCCGTTCATGATCTTATTCTGTCTCAACTTCAAGTTCACATGCTTGATCATTCTGTTGTGGACTTCCATAATTTTATTGATATCTTCTTCGTCCATCTGGTGTTGGTCGGTTTCAATTGGCTCAGCAGAGAATACTCTTCTAGACTTTCTTTTACAAGTGTTTCTGTGGTGAGTTCTGATGTTCCTTCTTCCTCTCTTCGAAGAGACTATAGCCTTGATGATGTTCTTCATTTCACTTGTTTTAGGAACCTATTAGATTAGTCAAACGAGTCCATAATAGTAATGAATAATCTGGAGAATACTTACCTTATGAGATTTGGCTTTCTGAGACTTTCTCAAGCTAAGTTTGAGCTTTTGAGGTAAGTTTTCTGTGCTCAGGAGTGACAACTTCTCAACTCCTCATTTCTGGTTTTGGAGTTTGGCTGATTTGCTCAGACAAACTTTGTTAATCCCGGCAGATGCCTTTTCCCTAAGAGAAATCTTTGGGTGTCTGACTCCCTTGACGATTGGACTTAATAATGATCTTTTGACTCTGTCAGCTGAGGTAATTTGGGGGATAGCTTTCTTCAAAGTAAGTTGTTTTGTAAGGAATGGTTTTAACTCCATGTTAGTATATTTATTGTAAATATTTGTTCAGAAATTTATAGAGTTGGGGTTTTGGGGTTTTGGGGTTTTGGGGTTTTGGGGTTTTGGGG